CTATCCAGGCCAAAACATAATAAAGTCCAAACCTGACTCATTTGAGTTTCAGCCCGTGGTTAAGTTTCCCTCCCCAGGACAGCTGCCTCTGGATGTGTGATTCAGAAAATGACATTCTCCCAGTTCCCCACTCACAACTCTGCACTCCCTCCAGAAGCTACATGTAAATCTTGGTAGGTGGAAATTCTACCGGCTCCCCCAACATAAGTCCCACTGATAAATCTAGTGGAAAGAAGCCAAACTGAGAATCAGAAGACCCCTAGCTCTAAATCTTGTTTGTCAACTGCTTTCACATCCGTAGGCAAGTAAGTCACTTCCCTAATCGTGGCCTCCATTTCCTATTCTGTAAAATAAGGAGACTGAACTCAGTGACCTCTAAGGTCTCTTCCAGGTCTAAAATGTCATGATTGCCATGATTCCATATAACTGAGAATAGAACAAAAGAAAGCAGTCCCAAAGTTCAGATTTAGGTTAAATAATCAAGAGAACTTCCTGGCTCTGAGAGGTGAGAGCACAGAAGAGGGAAGGAAAGGAAAATCTTGAAATATTCTTAGCTGGGGATCATTCAGAATACTATCCCCTATTTTAGATAGAAAAAAAAAACACGCTGCCAAGCCTAGAGTAGGAGAAGGGGAAGGGAGAGAACAGGTCTGGAACAGACACAATGACCTTGAGAGTAGGTATGGAGAAATCTCTGGAACTGCCCCATATCTCCTTGTTCGTCTATACCTTTACCAGTCCTACAAGTGCCTGCTTGTCTATGGGGGAGGCTAAGAGAGAGAGACTTGAGGCTGGCACCTGGTGATGCCCCCCTTGGGGCCCCTTGGCTTATTCCCCTGGAAAAGCTTAGCAGGAATGGTTCTGGGGAGGGCTTGCCAGGCACACTCTGAATGGGGCAGCCCCACCCTCCTTTCACCGACAGCAAGGCAGGTTGGCACTTCCAGTGAAGTGGGTGAAAATTCACAGAGTGAGAAGAATTGGCTAAATACAGTGAGGGCTTCCTGTGTCCTCCCAGGAGAGGGGAGTGGATCCCTCAATCCACCAGCAGTAACTACGCAGATCCTAACACACAAACAAGTTTGGGGTAACCACGTCTCTCTTTAAAGACAAGAAAAAGCCAAAAACAAAATTTCCAGGAAAGAACAGTGGAAATAGAATTGTGATTTGGAGGAGAGAAAACTCCTATTAACAATGATGATACTAACTAGAATTTATGTAATGCTTTACAGATTACAAAATATTTTACATTCATTGTCTCAACAGTTTCTATTTATTTATTTCCATTTCTCAGATGAGGAAATTAAGGTTAAGCCAAAGCCCACACAGTAAGAAAAGAGGACAATGTGGTCTCTACATAAGAATAGGCAGTATGGGCTAGAGGGGAGGGGAAAGAGGATTGTATAGTCTGGGAGAAGGAGAGGGCATTGTGGTCTGTGGGAAAAGAGAGGGGCAGCCTGGGCAGGAAGGGAGAGAGAGGGTAATGTGGTCTGAGGGAGAAAAGGGGGAGTCCCTCTCTGGCAGTCAGAGCTGAGACAGCTGAATAGTGTAAGGCAGTTAAAATAGAAGAAGTTTGGAGTCTCACCTCACCTCGACTAGAACTGAAAACTCGGGCTGTTGCTCTTCTGAATTCTCAAGGCTTTGTCATGATTTAGTTCTTAAAATTTGGGTTTGGGGGCAAGGAAGTAAGAGCAGGCAGACTTGGGGTGAAGGAAAAAAAGCCTTGGGGCAAGGAAAGCAGCAGCTAGACCAAACTGAAAACAGCCATCCCAGAGAGTAACAGAGGACATTGGACTGGGGTTTAGTTTAAGCAGATGAAAGCGAGGCATGAGTCATAGGGGAGGGAGCAAGGGTTCTCTCCAGAGACCTACTCTGTAACCAGCTTATCCTCATGCAGACAGACTTCATCTCCTCCCTCCCTCCTCTTTCCTCTCCCCTCTCTGTCCTCTCCCTGTCTCTTCTCTCTTCTCCTCTCTTCTATCTCCTCTTCCCCTTCTCCTCTTTCCCCTCTCCCCTCTCTCATCCTTTCTTCTTCTTCTTCTTCTTCTTCTTCTTCTTCTTCTTCTTCTTCTTCTTCTTCTTCTTCTTCTTCTTCTTCTTCTTCTTCTTCTTTTCCTCCTCCTCCTCCTCCTCTTCCTCCTCCTTCTCTCTCTCTCTCTCTCTCTCTCTCTCTCTCTCTCTCTCTCTCCCCCCCATCTCTCTCTGTGTGTCTCTCTGTGTCTCTCTCCTCTCCTCTTTCCCCTCCCCTTCTCTCTCTGTCCCTGTCCCTGTCTCTCTCTCCACTCCCCCATACCTACACCCATATCCATATCTTCTCCAAAATGTCCATCCCGCTTCCCCTACTCCCACTGCCACTCCCCTCTCAATCCCCTTTTCTCCAATGATGTTTACCTTTCTGGAAATAGTCCCTAATTATTCTCAGTGCCCCAGTTCCAACTCCTTAGTACTGCTGGCTGAGGATAAGCAAACTGGTTCCTATCCTGCTCCCTGGTGGGAAACAATGTACTATGATAGAAAGAGCACAGGCTCAACGTCAGAGGACCTGGATTCAAATCCCGCCTCTAATATTTACTACCTGTGTGACCTTGGACAAGTGACTTAATCTCCCTAACCTTCCCTGTAAAATGAAAGGGTTGTCCTCCACGACCCTTTGAGGTCCCTTTCAACTCTAAATCGCCACTGGATCTTCAAAGCTGGCCACATCTCAGGTGCAAAAGGGAGGCAGAATTGAGTAAAAAAGATAAATAAAATAAAATAATAAATTGAGTAATAAAGTCTAAGTGGAGAGGGCCAGAAACGGAGAAAGAGAAATACCGATTGAAGTAGACAATAGTAATAACAACAGAGAGGATTCCCAAAATGAAGGCTGAGGGGCCAAGGGGAGCTTGAGACAGAATCTCCAAAGCACAAGAGAACACAGCAAAAGATCCAGACCTTCTGAGAGCTCTGTGGGCAAGGACCGACGAACTTGCGGGGAAGAGGGGGGGAAAGTCCCCTCCCTAGTTCAGGGGTGGGGAGCCTGAGGAAATCAAATAAAGGGAAATGGACTTGGAGGATTCTTTGAGGTGGCAGGGAACAGCTGAACCTGGGGGAGGAGGCTATGATACTGCCTTTCCTGGAAATCTTGAAGGAAACCATATACTAGGGGCTTGGACAGGAGTGGGGAACCTGCAGCCTCGAGGCCACATGTGGCTCTCTAGGTCCTCAAGGGCAGCCCTTTGACTAAATATACACTTCACAGAACAAAGAAGTTTGGATTCAGTCAAAGGGCCACACTTGAGAACTTAGAGAGCCACATTAGAGAGCCACATGTGTCCTCGAGGCGACTAGGAGGAAGTCCATACTGTACAGAGGCAAAGAAAAGATCAATTTCTGCCAAGGGAGTTGGAAGCTTGATAATTCTACAATTTTGTCATATGCCCTTTCCGATCACCTCTCCTCCCACTCCTCTCCATCCTTCCACTACAGAAGGTCAGACAGAAAATAAATGGACTCCTGAATTCCTCTCATTCTCCCTGTCTAGAGCCCACTTACTCCATTCAGGCCTCCTGGCTCCAAAGCTTCTACCTGAAGATGTTTATTCTGAATCTTGAGCAACCCCTAGAAGGACAGTCGCCTGACCTCTTCACCTCTCCCACTCAGCCTGGCTTCAACCCCCTGCTGTGGTCACCCCCTAGGCTGAAAGCTAGGAATCTGGGGTTTCTGGTGGGTCATAACTGAGGTCTGGGGAATGCATGATTTCCTTGGAGGATGAAACTACAGTTGCAGAAAACAGTGCAAAGCAGATGGTTTCTGATTAGTAGTTAGGGACTGCCTTGCTTCTTCCCAGCAGTCTCTGGGACCTCGACTTCTACCACCCAGATAGGCTGCTGTTTCTGACTGGGGAGAGAGGAACCCCAGGTAGCCCAGCTTTAAGTGTCAACAATCCAAACTGCAACACTGTAACTACATGGTTCAATGTTCCAGTCTTTCCTCCAAAGATGCTGCGTTAGGAAAGGGTAGGTGGCCAAGACCAAGTATCCAAGCTCCATATACCATGCCCTCTGCTGGAAATGCCAAAGAAGAGGGGGGACTGGACACCCAAGGTGATGCCAAACATGAGTCATTTCCCTTCAATAAATCTGATTCCAGCCACCCAACCCAACTATTTCCAGGACACAGATATTACTCCTCATACCCCAGCTTCCTTCTTTGTCCCCAAATCCCTGAGAAATACCATTTGTCCAGGCTCAGGCCTCTAACATCCATCTCACTTCAACAAGGACCCCAAGACTCACTTCCACTGATAATGAAGGAAGAGATCTGAATCCAGCTTACTAACATCTCACTGCCAGGCCTCAGCTCTTGAAGGACCCCTTTCTCCCCATCCACCCGTGCTGCTGGCTCAAAAATTCCCCCCAACCCAATGCTACCAGTCAGAGTCTGGTCACTGTCCACAGCTCCCCACACAGGACTCTGCATCTGGGTATTCAGGGCCCGGGACAGGCTCATGGAAAGACTAGCTACAAAAGTTTAACCGTTCCTTGGCACAGTTCTGCTCCCTCTTGTGTGCACACACACACACACACACACACCACACACACACACACATATGCCACTTCACCCTTTAAACTGTCAGTCCTGGCCCCAGTCTCCCTCCCCTGGACCAGGTGAGACATGACCCCCCCTCCTCTTTACTCCACCTTCCACTGGCTTAGCCCCATGCCCCTTCCCAAAACAATCATAAAAACATTTTGAATGAAAGGAAACTTAGAGATCATCTAATCTAACCCCCTAATTTTATAGATAAGGAAACCAAGGTCCCCAAAAGCCAAGTGGCTGTCCTGTGCTCACACAGGTAGTCCTCCCTTATCCACAGCCCGAGCTCACTAGCCTGCCCTAGAGTTCCTTTCCCAGCCCAGCCACAAGTATGTACTGCACTCTCCCCTTCCACAAGAACAAATATTCAGCTCCTCCCCACTGGCATCTGCCCTGTCTCCCTTCCACTGCACCTTAGCGCTTACCCCCAGCAGCCGCTTCTTTCTCTGAGGGCTCACTGAGCCACAGGGGGCTGGGTGCTTGCAGTGCCCTGGATCCGGGGGGCACCTTGGGAGTTGGGGGACTCCCGGGGGTCCAGGATCCAGCTCCTCGCAGCAGACCAAGCTCACCGTGCAGCCCATCAGTCCGAGAGCCTCAGCGAAAGGGGCGGGACAGGGAGAGGCAGCTGGGGGACCCGGACCTCCCCGCCCTAGACCCGACCGTGGATCACCACGTGCCCCCTACCCCCCACCGGATGCAATGGGCTGGGGTGGCTCTGATCTTAGGAGCACTGTCGGGACAGAAGGCTGGCAGCAGGTCTGGCCTGTCTCCATTCCTCCTTCTCCAAGGACAGCCAGGAAGTGTGGAGTGTGCCTTGGGGACAAGGATAGGCAGCAGCATATGGATGGGGAGACAAACCCAGCTAAGGCCCGCAATCCGAGGGGCCAGGCACAGGCAGGAACTGAACCTGGACAAGCCGAAGACACAGAGAACTAGCTCTAGAGTCGGAGGATCTGGGTTTGATCCCACTCTGTGTGACCTTGGGCAAGTCCTTCAACATCCAGAAGCCTGTAAAATGAGGAGGGGCTGGACTAGATGTCCTCTGAGATCTCTTGCAACCCTTGATCTATGACCTTATGAGAATGACCCACTGAGCTAAGGGACAAGAGGCATGGAACACTCCCAGCGAGGCAGAAACACTGGGAAAAGATGAAGAAAGAGATAGAAGGACATCGTCGAGAGGGAGTGGACAAATCGGGCTTATAGAAGGATCACTGAATTATGATGTATAAAGAAATCCCAAAGATAAGCTAATCCATTCCTCAAAGATGAGAACAGTGAAATGCTTGTTCAAATTACACAGTTAGTGACACAGTGGATACAGCCAGCCCAGAGTCAGGAATAATCATTTTTCTGAGTTCAAATCTGGCCTCAGACACTTATTAGCTGTGTGACCTTGGGCAAGTCACTTATCCCTGTTTGCCTCGGCTTCTTTATCTGTAAAATGAGCTGGAGAAGGAAATGGCAAACCACTCCAGTATCTTTGCCAAGAAAACCCCAAAGTGAGGTCAGGAAGAGTCTGACACAACTGAAAACAACAAAAAGTAGCAAGCAGACACCCTAACTCAGAAGGCCTTTACTCCCCTGTCTGATGCCAAGAGAATATCTCATGTCCCATCTCTGTTTATGTATTTTTCCTGTTGTCTCATTAAAATGTTTGGAAATCCCCACCAGTGTCTGCTCCTTTTCTCCTAGTATGGACAATCCCAGTGCAAGCCTACAAAACCCCTGTAGAGCCTTGGGCAGCCCCTCCTATCACGAAGTTGACTCTCATTTTGGGGGGTGGGAACCAGAAAAAAAATCAATCGGCCTGAGTATATTTTCCAGAGCTCGTCATCTAGTTCCTAGGACTTCATTCCCTAATCAGCCTAAAGTTTTGGAGAAAGGGGAAGAAGGAACGAGCTTCAGAAAGTGACACTAAGAACCAGGACACCTAGGTTGTCTCCCCAATGGCCCTATTTCTGTAGGGGAGGAGACGATCTCCCTCTGCACAAAACCATTATCCTTCCTCCTGTTTCAAACACCTGGAGGGAAAGGGGGGTAGGTGTGTAGTGAAGGTGCTGATGACAACATCCCAAGGTCTTAGCGCCACCTGGTGGTGGTAGTGAATATGAGCAAGAACGAGTAGAAGTGATGAGACGTTACCGTGTGAATGAATGGATTCTCTCCGGGAGCACATATACTTTATTTTTAAAAATAAGATTTTATTGATATTTTCTGTTTCTTACATCACCATAGATTTCCCACATATTACTCCTCCTCCCTCCCAAAGAGCCACCTTATATGACAAATGCTATTTTTTTTTGAGAAGAGTAAAATATTCAGCTCAACTAATCAATATCAAAAGGTCAGAAAACATGTGCAATATGTAACACCTGTGGACCTCCTCCCTCTGCCAAGGGCTAGGTTTAGGGGGGAGAGGGTTTTACCTTATCTCTTCATTCAAGAGCTGCTTGCTCTTTTAAATTTTGTTACATTGCAGTTATTGTGTATATTGTTTTCTTGGCTCTGCTTCCTTCACCCTGTACCAATTCATATAGATCTTTCCGTGTCTTGTATTCATCCCATACATTTCCTTCTTTTTTGGGGGGGAGGAGGCTAGGCAATGGGGTTAAGTGACTTGCCCAATGTCACACAGCTAGTAAGTGTTATGTGTCTGAGGCCGGATTTGAACTCTGGTCCTCCTGAATCCAGGGCCAGTACTCCATCCACTGTGCCACCCAGCTGCCCCATCCCCTACATTTCTTACAGCACAGTAGTATTCCATTATATTCAGGCACCACAACTTGTGTAGCCTTCCTCTGATTCCAAAAGTATGAAAATTTTAGTAACTTTATCTGCCTAATTCCAAATCGCATTCCAAAATGGTTGTGCCATTTCACAACTCCACCAACAATGTGTAAGTGTGTCCATCCTTCCACAATCCCTCTAGCATTGACTATTGTCATTTTTTGTCATTTCATACAGTGTGAGATGAAACCTCAGGATTGTTTTGATTTGTATTTCTCTTATTATCAGTGATTTGGAGCATTCTTCCATGTGGCTGAAATTATTTTGCAGTTCTTCTTTTGAAAATTGTTCGTCTATATCCTCTGACCATTTATCTGTTGGGGAAATGGCATGTGTTGTCAAGTCATTGAAGTCATATCCAACTCTTCATGACCCAATTTGGGGTTTTCTTGGCAAAGATACTAGAGTGGTTTGCCATGTCCTTCTCCAGCTCATTTTACAGATGAGGAAACTGAGGCAAAAAGGGTTAACTGATTTGCCCAGGGTCACACAGCTAGTAAGCGTCTGAGGTTGGATTTGAACTCAGGAAAATGAGTCTTCCTGACTCCAGGCCCAGAACTCTAAGCATTATGGTGCCACCTAGCTGCCCAATTTAATAGACAGCAGGGAGAGATCCTTCTAAAGGTCATTACTACTCTCTTGGTTTCATAGGATTTACATTTATTAATTTATATATTACAAATATAAAATCCTCTGTTTGGCTTTTAAAGCCCTTTATAACCTGGCCCCTTCCTACCTTTCCAATCTTCTTACACCTTACTCCTCATACTCCACAATACAGTGATGTATTGCTGTTCCCATGACACTCCATCTCCCAGTTCTATGTATTTATACTGGCTGTCCCTCATGCCTAAAATGCTCTCCCTCATCTCCACCTCCAGATTCCCTGGCTTTCCCTGGCTTCTTTCAAGTTTCAGCTAAGATCCTACCTTCTACAAGAAGTTTTTCTTGATTCCCCTTAATGCTAGCGCTTTGCTTCTGTTGGCTGTCTCCAGTTTCTCCTGTCTGCATCCTGTTTGTATATAGTTGCTTGCATGTAGTCTTCCCTATTAGACTATGATCTCCTTGAGGGCAGGAACTGTCTTTTGCCTTCCTTTGTATCCCTAGTGCTTAGCACAGCACCTGACACATTTGTTGTTGTTTTTATTCAGTCATTTCAGTCATGTCTGACTCTTTGTGACCCCACTTGGAATTTTCTTGGCAAAGATAGTAGAATGGTTTGCTCATTTCCTTCTCCAGCTCATTTTAAAGATGAGGAAACAGAGGCATAGGGTTAAGCCCAGGGTCACACATCTATTAAGTATCAGAGGTCAGTTTTGAACTCAGGAAAATGAGTGTTTCTGATTCTAGGCCCAGCACTCTATCCACTGTAACATCTAGCGACCCTGTCTGACACATAGTGTGGTGCTTATTGACTTGACTTGACTTACATAGAAAGGGTCCTCAGCTCGCTAATTCAATGCCCCCATTTTATAGATGAGAAAACTGAGGCACAGAGAGGTAAAACACTCAAGATCACCCAGGTCCATAAGTAGCAGACCTAGTTTCATAACTGGGTCATTTGATCAAACATTCTCTCCACTATACCACACTGGTTCTTTCTACCTTCCATCACCCTTCCACTGTCCTAAACCCAGAAACCTAACTTCCTCCCAAAGCTCTATCTCCCATCACTATAATTCAGTATCCCTCTGCTACTTCTCCCTCCCAAATCCTGGTCCTCTAGTTCTCCCCCAGTCTCCATTTTTCCCTACTCCTTCCTTCACAAGGCTCTGAAGTTCCCCATACACACACACACACACACACACACACACACACATACACACACACACACACAAAGCCCAGCCTCCTGGGTGTGCTGAATATGAGTCACTGTCCAGACTGCAGGATTCAGGGAAGGCTTCAAAGGCTAGGCAGACATACAAAGACATTCCAGTTCCGATGCCACACACTGACCGCTCCAGTCCTTCTTGGGTGAGTAGCCAAGGACCACTCTTTGAGTAAGAATACGGGAAGGGGGTTAATGGTTGAACTGAGAATGTCTGACAGATTTCCCATGATTTCTAGGATCTGACAGTTTCTTCCTCCACTCCAATTACCTACAGGGTCTCCTATCCCATTTGTGCCTTGGTTTCCCCAGCATACTTCCTGCTACCCTATAATACCCCTACCAACTCTAGCAATTTGTTTGGGGCCTCAGAAGTTATTTAATCCAACTAGTACCTGACCCAATCCAACAACAAACAGTTATTCAGTGCCTACTATGGGCCAGCACTGTGAGATGGGGATACAAAGACAAAAATGAAGCAGTCCCTGACCTCAGCGAGCTTCCATTCTATCAGGAAAATCAATATGTAACTGAACAGTATTACCCTCTGCAATGTCCCCACAGGTGATCCATTCAGCTCTTTCTCAAAGACCTCCAGTGAAAGAAGCCTACTACCTCCCAAGGACATCCATGCTACTTTGGGGCATCGCTAATTGTTAGCAAGTTTTTTTTCCCTGATTCCAAGTCAGCTTTTCTGCAACTTCAGTCTGTCTTTATTAGTTCTGCCCTCTGAGGCCAAGCAAAATAAGTGTAATCTCCTCTCCATATGACAGCTTATCTAATACTTGAAGACAATTATCATGTCCCCACCTAAGTTTTATATTCTCTAATCTGAATATCTCTGGTTCTTTCAACCAATCCTCTTCTGACACAGTCTAGAGTCCCTGTTGCCTTCTTCCGGACACTTGCTATCCTTCCTAACATGTCTTTCCATGATTCAAATCAGGCTACCTACATTGTACTTCCCATATCTGTTCATGACTCCCAGTGTGTGCACCAAGTTCTCTGGCTCTCCAATGCTATCCCTAGATCCTAAGGAGTTAGAGGACCTTACAGGGATTAGGGAAGGGAATAAGCATTTATATAGTGCCCACTACGTGCTGGGCACTGTGCTAAGTGCTTTCTAAAACTGTCATCTCATTTGATCCTTATAACAACCCTGCAAGATAGGTGCTATTATTATCCCTGTTTTACAGATGAGAGGAATTGAGGGTTAGGAGCAGACAAATTACACTTGAATCTCTGGCAGAATTGATGAAGGAAGTCAGGAGTCCTGGCTCCGGTCTAGCTTTTTTCCTATTTTTCCATTTCCTAGGGTCTCTCTCCCTTTGCTTCTTTCTCCCTTTTCTTGAAATAAACCAGACTTTCCACTCAGCTAGGGATCAGGAAGGGATGAGTGTATGTCTTGAGGATGACTGTTCCTAGGAGGCTGACTTCCCCAGGGGGGGAGGGAGGATGGGATCCCACAGCCCAACTCTCAACTTAGATACTCAACCTAAGGACTAAATCCTGGAGGGGCCTGGGGAGAAGAAGGCAAATGGCAATAGCAGCACAAGATCCAGAAAGAAGACTAGAAAGGAGCTTAAAAGTCTTCTTTGCTGCATCATCATCCATGTCTCACCATCCAAAAATTAATGTCCCCTGCCAAGGCTCTGCTCTGGGCACTCTTCCCTTCTCTCTCTATACCGTCTTTCTTGGGGAGCTCCTCAGTTCCCATAAATACCATTGTCATCTTTCTGTAGATTACTCCCAGATCTATATAGCCATAGAGAGCCCTCCTCTGGCTCCTGGGCCCCAACAATCTACTAAACATCTCCAACTGAAAATGTCCAAAGTGGAACTCTATATCCTCCCCTAAACTTGCTCCTCTTCCAAACTTCCCTTTGTCTCTCTGAGGTACCACCATCCTTTTGGTCAGAGGTTCCCAGTCTCAGAGTCATCCTCCATTTTGTGCTTCTCTCTAACCCTACCCCATAGCCAACCAGTTGATAATTTTTGTCAATTCTATCTCCATAACACCTGTCCCATTTATTCCCTTCTCTTCACTCACTTAATCACCACCAGCCTAATTTGGGCCCTCATCCCCTCTTACCTTGTAATTGGTCTCCTGCTTCTAGTTTCTCACCCCTCCAGTTGATTCCCACCCCCATCATTGACAAAATAATCATCCTAAAGCAGTTTTGACTAAGTCACTCAAAAATTTTCCATAGCTCCCTACTACCTCTAGGATAAAAACAGACTTATTGGCTTGTCACTGTTGGTGACAAATATTAAAAAGGAAAGAGAAAAGAAGTTTAACAAACTTTTTTCAAAAACTTTAATTTAAAACATTTAAATGAGGAACCAGAGGCAAATAGGGTTAAGCCCAGGGTCACACTTCTATTAAGTATCAGAGGTCAGTTTTGAACTCAGGAAAATGAGGGGCATTTGGGTGGCACAGTGGATAGAGCACTGGCCCTGGATTCAGGAGGACCTGAGTTCAAATCCGGCCTCAGACATATAACACTTACTAGCTGTGTGACCTTGGGCAAGTCACTTGACCCCATTGCCTAGCAAAAAAAAGAAAAAAGAACTCAGGAAAATGAGTCTTTCTCACTCCAGGCCCAGCACTCTATCCACCTAGCCACCCTGTCTGACATATAGTGGGTGCTTATTGACTTGACTTGACTTCTATAGAAAGGGTCCATCAATAGAGCAACCATCATATCACATTCAATATTTGATATTTGTAGTCTCCTTCCACCATGAAGAGAGGAAGGTGTGTTTTATCAAATGAGATCTTTGTTAAGTGCTGAACACAGTGCCTGGTACATAGGCGGTACTTAATAAATGTTTGCTTCCTTTCCTTCTAGGGCTCTCAAGGCCCAGGCTTGGTCATTATAATTATGCAGCATTTGGTTACATTGTTATTGATACCATTCTTTCCATTTTCATTGTTATGATCATATATAGTTTTCTGCCTACTTCCTGCAGCATAAGCTTACATACATCTTTCCAAGCTCCCTTGAATTCTTAACATTAGTTATTTCTTATTGCCAAGTAATATTCATTGCATTCACATACCATAGTTTATTTAGATATTCCCTACTTAATTTGCACCTATCTTGTTTTCAGTTCCTTGCCCCCACAAAAAAGAAAAGAAAAGAATACTTTTGTGCAGATAGTCCCATTCTTTCTGTTTCAATCTCCTTAGGGCGTACACCTAGCCCTGAGACCTCTAGATCAAAGGTAGAGACAATTTAGCCATTTTCTAAGCTTAATTTTAAATTGCTTTTCAGAATGGTTGGATCAATTCACAGCTCCACTCCCCATGTGTACAATGCCTGTCTTCCTATAGCTTTTCCAACACTGACTTACTCATTTGCCGGTTTGCCAGATATGAAGTGAAACCTTCAAGTTGCTTTTAGTTGCATCTCTTTCTACTGGTGATTTGGAGTAATCTTTTATATGACTATTATTATTTTGCAATTCTTCTTTGGATAACTATTTGTTCCTCACTCTTGTCCATTTTTCCGTTGAAAAATGGTTCCTGGTTATTCATTTTAATGTTTAATATCTTGGACAGCAGACTCTTGTAAGAAATATTTGATAATAAGTTGTGTGTCACTCCTCACCCCCACTATTAATGGTTCCTTTTCTATCTTTGCTGCATTGATTTTGTTAATACAAAAGCTTTTGAATTTCATGTCATCAAAATTATGTGTGGTTTTTTTTTGCAACCTTTTTCTGTCTCTTGTTTGGTTAAGTATTCTCTCCTTATCCATAGCTGTGAGAAGTACCTGATTTTGCCCTCTTACTTTTTATACTTTTATACTTATCACGTATTCATTTTGAGTTGATTGTTCTATTGGTTAAGATGTTGACCTAAACTTTTTTTTTTGCCAACCTGCTTTTCAGTTTTCCTTACGGTTAAGGTCAATTCAGTTGTTTAATGTAATTTGTGGTCCTAGGTTTATTGTACACTGACTTATTGAGTTTGGTTGTCTCTGATTCTTGCTTAATCTGTTTCATTGGTCTACTTTTCTATTTTTTAGCCAGTACTAAATAGTATAATAATGGGTAATTACTGCTTTATAATGTAATTTGAGGTCTGGAAATGTTAGCCTCCTTTCATTACTACTTTTTTTCCCTTATGTTCCATAAGAGTCTAGACCTTTTACTCCTCCAAGGGAATTTTATAATTATCATATTTAGCTTTCTAAACCACCCCTTTGGTAGTTTGATTAGTGTAGCATTAGCTCTGGAAAGACTGGTCTTAACTTACATTTATAAAAATTGGTAAATTGGTAGTTTATGCATTTTGTAGTGATTTTGTATGGGATTTCCCTGTAATTTCCCCTTTGGGGGATTTTGTCGTTTATATATAGAAATGCTAATCATTTCACTTTATTGAGTTAATAATTGCTTATTCTCTGGGATTTTCTAAGCAAATTGTGTTGTCTGCAAATAAAGGTAATGCCTCCTCCTTGCCAAACTTTTTGCTTCAATTTATTTTTTCTCTCATTGCTATTGCTAGCATTTCTAGAACTGTGTCAAATAAAGGTGAATAGAAGGGAATTCTCTTTAAAACAGTTTTTAGAATAAACTTAATAGCAATCCCAACCAGAAAGTCAAATGAATACACAAAGTAAGAAATAAAATCATTTATAAACCATGAACTCCAAATAATATATAGCTTGCCAAAAGGAAATACACACTTTACATACAATACTTGATATGTGTCCTCATCCAGGGAAGGAATTCCTGATCAGGAAATTCCTTCTACCAATGCAGATTGGCACCTGCTCTGTGTGTATGTATATGTGTGCATGTGCACACACATATGCATATATATAATATAATAAACACATATGCACACATGTATGTGTATTGTGTGTGCATATATACATATATGTATGCATATATAATATATTTGTGTATATGTACATTATATATGGTTTTGTACTGTATCAATTTGCATTTATATGTGATTATATGCATATACTATTTATTTACATATTTATATGTAATTGTATATATAATATACACTATAATATGTAATAAGTATATGTGTAATATATGTAATTATATGCATATAAATTTTAACCAGATAATAATAATATCTTATTCGATATACCTACTTCCTATCTAACTTCTTTGTGTGTCCTTATTGGGATAAACTTTTTAAAAGGTTAAAGCCAGAGATGGGGAACCTCATGTGGCCCCCTACATGCTCAGGTGTGGCCCTTTGACTGAATCCAAACTTCACAGAACAAACACCTTAATAAAAGGATTTGTTCTGTGAAGAATAAAAGGATTTGTTCTGTGAAGTTTGGATTCGGTCAAAGGACCGCACTTGAGGATCTAGAGGGCCACATGTGCCCTTGAGGCTTCAGGTTCCCCACGCCTGGAGAGGAGGGATGGGGAAGATTGGGAAGAGCCTAGGGAACTTCATATGCTAAAAAACAGACAACCAGATAGCTGGAATCATGAAGAACCATTCCATTCCAGAGTCACTATGGAGGGAGATAGAACCATCCTAAGAGTTATCCAGGACCTCAAAAGTAAGTAAGGCCTCTAAGGTTTTCTTGGTTGGTTTCTAAAATGAGATAAGAAGGGGCAGCTAGGTGGTACAGTGGATAGAGTGCTGGCCCTGGAGTGAGGAGGACTTGAGTTCAAATGCGGCCTCAGACACTTGACACTTACTAGCTGTGTGACCCTGGGTGAGTCACTTAATCCCATTGCTTAGCTAAAAAAAATTTTTTTTAAAATAAAATAAAATGAGATAAGAAGTCAAGGTAGGGCTACTCCATTTTCAGCCTTGTTGCCCAAATGTCCATTTTCCTCTCTGCAGAAGTCACCTCTGCTATCCTTTGGGGATACGGGGAACAGGAACACCCAGTAACAGATGCCAGTGCTGAACTGCACGGACTCTGTGGCTACCTGGAGCTCTTGCTGCAGGTAGGTTGTGGGTCAAGGAAGGCTCACCGAAGTCATCCCCCTGACCACTAATGAACAAAGAGAGTCAAGTGAGCTTTCCCCCTGAAGGAGAATCTGTAGGCTCCCTCAGTCACCTGTTTCACTGTCTTACATGCCACATTGTTAGGACTGAGAGTAAACTTTACCAGTTTGTTTGCCTTGCTTTATCCATAGTTGGGCTGGAGAATAAATGGCTACCTCCTTCTATGCAATAAGCCTTAAGGGGCTTGGGTTCAAATCTCACCTTTGATGCTTACTACCTGTGTGACCTTGAGCAAGTCTCTTCACTTGGTAGCCTCAGTTTCCTCATCTGTAAAATGAGAGCATTGGCCTAGCTGGCCTCTGAGGGCCCTTCCGGGTTTATCCCGGTGATCCTATGATGCTGCCTTCAAGGTCCTCAATCTCCAGGGAATAGTTCTTGCTGCCGCTTTTGAATTTTCAGTTCAACATGTATTTTCTTACATGAAAGGCACCATCCCAGGCGCTAGGGACACAAAGCTTACCATATCATAAACCTAGAGCCGTCTGAGAGGCCGCTGAATCCAACCCCCTTATTTTATAGATGAGGAAAGGGATCTGGGGTATACGGACAGCAAGCATCAGAGTCGGGATTTAAAGCCAGGTCCTCTTACACCAAAGCCAGTGTTCTTTCTACGGCACCAGGATACCTACTTCCATCAATCACTTGGTTAATCAATGATTCATCAATGTGGGTCGTCCTTTCCTAGGGTAGACTGAAATACATCCTCAGTCTCACCTTCTATGAGCCTTATCCCTGTCTGCCCCCAAATCCTCCAGAAAGGAAGGAAGACTCATCCTGATGAGCTCAAATCTAGCCTCAGACACTTCCTAGCTGTGTGACCCTGGGCAAGTCACTGAACCCTCTTTGCCTCCGTTTTTTCATCTGTAAAATAATCTGGAGAAGGAGATGTCAAATCACACCAGTCTCTTTGCCAAGAAAACACCACAAAGGGTCGGAGATGACTGAAAAATGACTGAACAACAACAGGGATAAAAAGGTGAAAAATAAAAATAAGCAAGTCCTAGTGATGCAAAGGTACAAAAATTCTTCAAGGAGTATACAGTCTACAGTAGAGGGCAGGGGAGGGAAAATATGATAGGTATAAGGTAGCATGTCACCACGGTAAGGGAGAAAACAGTTTAATATACTTTAAAGAAAGGTGCAGAGGTGGATAGAGCACTGGCCCTGAAGTCAGGAGGAACTGAGTTCAAATCTGCCCTCAGAGCAAACACTTGACACTTATTAGCTGTGTGACTCTGGGCAAGTCACTTAACTCCAATTGCCTAAAAGAAAAAATAGAAGAAGACAGGTGCAGAGGAAAAGCTCTGAGTCAGAATGCCTGAGTTTGGGTCCTACCAGACCATCCTCAATCTCCCCAGCTGCCAGGTAGCCAGAATCTTACTGTTAAGATTCTAGAAGGCAGCACAGGCTAGGTGCTAAAAATATAATAAAATAAAAACTTAATTGGGGAAAAAAAATGAATGAATGAGTATAAGATGGATGAGCAAGAAAGAAAGAAAGAAAGAAAGAAAGAAAAGAAAAGAAAGAAAGAAAGGAAAAGAAAAGGAAAGAAAAAGGGCAGCTAGGTGGCACAATGGATAGAGCACCAGCCTTGGAGTCAGGAGGACCTGAGCTCAAATCTGACACTTGGCACTTATTAGCTGTGTGACCCTGGGCAAGTCATTTAACCTGATTGACTAGCCCCCCCAAAAAAAAAAGAATGGATAAGCTAAGGAAAAAAATGTGTGGTCTGATTGTGAGTTTAGAGGAGAAAACGTCTTCATGCCTTGCTCCCACTCCCTACCCTGTACCAGTTTGATCAGAAAGATCGGAGGAGATTCCTGGGACCCCGGAAAGATTACTGGGACTTCCTTTCAGTGGCCTTGCAGAGGAATGGTGGAGACACGGAAGTCGTTCGATTTGTCTACACCCTGGACAAGGTAGTTATCAGTAATAGGTAGAGAAAAAAAGGACAGGGGAGACAGCCAAATTAACTATACCCACCATGACCTCCTCCTTCAATACACCTTCCCCCCCCATTCACTCTGTGCCCTACCCCTTGATTCTGAAGTTCCTTCTCTCTCTCTCTCTCTCTCTCTCTCTCTCTCTCTCTCTCTCTCTCTCCCTCCCTCCCTCTCCCTCCCTCCCTCTCACTCTCCCTTTCTTTCTCTCTCTGTCTCCCCTCTCTCTGTGTCTCTCTTTGCTTGTCCCTCTCTGTTTTTCTCTCTTCCTCCCTCTGTCTCTCTTACTGTCTTTATCTCTCTGTCTCTGCCTGTCTGTCTCTGTCTGTCTGTCTCCCTCTCTCTGTGTCTCTCTTTGCCTGTCCCTCTCTATTTTTCTCTGTCTCCTTCCCTCTGCCTCTATGTCTCTGTCTCTGTCTCTGTGTTTCTCTGTCTCTTTTTGTCTCCCCACTCAGCCCCTGAGCTGTTAGCTTTGATTTTCCCAGCACACAATCATATACTGTCCCTTTAATGTTTAAATTCAGCATTACCCTCTCATACCCTCAGTTTCCTCATTTGTAAAGTGAGGGAATTGTACTAGCTTAGTCTTTCCTTTTCCTTCCCCCACAAATTTTCTCTCCTGGCCCTAGATTCTTCTTCTTTATATCCTGGTATCCTACATATCCTTCAAAGAACTCACTGGCCACTTAGGCATCTTCTTACCTCTTCCTTGCTACTCCCCCAAGCTCTTCCCACCTCACCCACTCCCTTATTATTTTTTAGCTGAAGACCACTGTGGGAAGAGGTCGTGCATTTATCCGTTTCTGTCTGGCCCATCGACAGTTGGCTGACACTCTGCAGCTCTGCCTCCTGGACCCTGAACTCACCAGGTCAACAATAACCACTTCTTCTGCCCCTGGACATTTCACCACTTCATTGGATATATGTGTGTATGTGTATATATGTGTATACACATACACACATATGCATATACATATGTCCAATAAGTGTGCATATATATAATGTATATATGCAATGTGTAATATATACCCAATATGTATCCAATGTGCATATATATATATATAATATATATAATCTAATATGTGTGTATGTATATATACACACACACACACAATGTGTATATATCTAATACAATATATATACAATGTGTGTGTATGTATACAGATACAGTTATAATGGGTATATATATGTATATTCAATGTGTGTGCATATATCTTCTATATCTAATATCTAATTGAATATGTATATACACACATACACATATGTGTGTATGTACACATACACATATGTGTGTATGTACACATACACATATGTGTGTATGTATATAGATGTTGGTATATCCAATGCAGAAGGAGAGTGGGGGAGGGGATGTTTCATATATTACAGCATCAAAAAATAAAAGGACCAACTGTCAAGGGGATGGATAGGGATGTGGAGGAATGGGGAAATGGGGAATATACCAAAGGTTGAACCAGTAGTGGTATAATACAGAAAATTAACTTTCCCCTAGATTCACTGTCTCATAACCCACTTTGGGGATACTTATATTCCCATTGCTGGGAAATTTTTTCTGATACCTAACTTCAGTCTCTCCTGCTACCATTTCATCCATAGCTAGGCACAAAGCAAGAGGAAACAGAGATGGCAGGGGTTGGGGGAGGAGAAGAAGGAAGGAATAGGAAGGAGGCATCAGAGTAAGGAATAAAACCCAGGAATAAATGGATGGCCTGCTTCTGGGGACCCTCCTTGTACAAACCTAGGAACTTTAGAGGGAGAGAAATTCTTCTGGAGAAATTAGATAAGAAATTCATTTCTTGGAATTGAGGGAGGTGGGGAGCAGTACAGGAATAAGAATGCTGGGGCCAGAAGTTGGTGCCTGAGCTGATGTGACTGCCCTAGGGAGTGGTATGGGAACCAAAGCCCCTTCCTGTGCCCAGAGCTCAGCACTGACATCCTAGAGACGCTTTATGTTCTGAATGGAGTGGCTTTTGATCTCGAGTTGCATCGGTGTGATCTTGATGGGGGCTGGCCTATGTTCTCAGAGTAAGTGACCTTCAAACAGAGGAGGAAGACCCCCACTGAAGGGAATGGACTTCATCACTCACTAATCCCTTTGGCCCTGTCTCACACACACATACACACACACACACACACACACACACACACTTTTTGTGTCACTATCCCATCTCTTTTTGCCCTGTTCCCCTAAGTTCCCATCATCTCTTCATTGGTCCACCCCCAAAGATGACCAGAGGAGGGGGGAGATGTTACAAATGTGGCCAAATAACTAAGCTAGAGGGAGAGACAGACTATCCCTCTGCTTCAATCCTTTCAGGTCACGATGCCAGGATTTCAGCATAACTCAGGAAAAGTTAAGGACAAATCAGCCTCAAGAGCAGGAGGTACTGTCCTTTGTCCTTACCTTAGCATCTTCCTTGACTCTTCCCCGTTGTATCCAGTAGATGGAGCAGTAAGTAAGCTGTAAATTCCAGGAAAGAAGAGCTGGTAGCTCAGATAGGTGAACACTGGAAGCAAGGGGCCAGGATGAGTGAGAGAAGGGAGGGTTTACTCAGGAGTGATCGAGAGATTAGGAGAGAGAGAAGAAAGGGAGTTCTGGGGTCCTGCAAAGTCCCTTGAGGATGGCTGAAGTCTCTCTGGGAAGAGAGAACATAAGAGTCATAGCCAGGCAGTGAATAAGCATTTATTGAGCCTCTACCATGTGTCAGGCACTGTACTAAAGACAGCTTTCAAAGCTCTCGAGAAGCTCAGGGTCCAACAGGAGAGACAGCATGCAAAAAGCAATGTATGAACAAGCTATATAGACATGATAAATTGGAAATAATCAGCAGAGAGAAGGCACTCAAATTAAGGAGAGGAAAGACTTCCTGTAGAAGGTAGGGTTTTAGCTGGGACTTGAAGGAAGCCAGTGAAGGCAGAAAGTAGAGAAATGAAGTGGGAGAGTATTCCAAGTATGGGGGAGAGGCAGTAAAAATTCCCAGAACTGAGGAATGGAGTATTTTATTCAAAGGATAGCAAGGAGGCTGGATCAAAGAGTAGTGGGGTGGTAGGAAAGGTTGGAAGTTGTAAGAAGATTAGAAAGGAGAGGAAAACCAAGTTATGAAGAGCTGTGAAAGCCAGAGATATAATAGTTGATTGTGGAAGTGATAGGGAGCCAATGGAATTGATTGAGTAGTGAGTGACATGGTCAGATCTGTGCTTTAGGAAGATCACTTGGACAGTTGAGTGAAGGGTGGACTGGGGTGGGGAGAGATGTGAGGCAGGGAGACCAACTGCCAAGCAATGGTAATAGTCCAGGAGTCAGATCCACTTCAGGGTGTCAAAGGGGAAGAGGGGAGTATGCGAAGGATATCACAAAAGTAAAATGAAGAGACCTTGGCAACAGATTGGACACGGGGAGTGAGAGAGGGTGAACAGTTGAGATTGATACCTAGTTTGGGAGTCTGGGTGCCTGGGAGGAAGATGGTACCTTCAACGGTCATAGGGAATTTAGGAAGATGGGAGGTTTGGGAGATGGAGCGGAAACAATGAGTTCAGGCATGGGATCTCAGAGTTGAAAGGGATCTAATTGAACTCCCTCAGTTCACAGAAGAGGAAACTGAAGTTGTGGGAGCTCAGAGACTTGCTCAGGGTCACACAGGTAATGAGCAGTAAAGCTGGGGTTCAGACTATGACTCTCTGACTCCAAATCCAGAGCACTTTCCAACAGGCCAAATTTTCATTCAAGAGGTAGCCAAAGCAATGGAGTTGAGGCATTCAGGAGGAGAAAAAAGAAAGAAAAAGATGGCAGAGGCAGAGCTGCAGGGCAGAGGAGTCCTGGGGAAATGGAATAATCTGAATATTCAGATCCACCCAGAGCTGACCAAAGGGAGTTTGTCTGGAGATAGAATCACTTATTTGGGGGCTTCTCCCTAGATAAAAGTCACACATCTCACAATCAAAGGAGTCCAGTCCAAGAAGACACCAACCCTCTTTGCTGGCTGTGACCTCCAACCCCAAGGAGATGACCCCAAGGGGGTCTGCCTAGTGAGACCTAATGGTGTTGGGATACAAGAATCCCTGACAGAAAAGAAGATAGAAGATCCTAAGAGCAGTATAAGTCAAGGGACACTTGAGGGTTCCAGAGGACTGGAAGTGTTCCCACACCTAAGTTCCCTGCTTGGGGAAACTAGGATGATGCCCCAGGGACAGAACCCCAGACTTCATAAAAAGCAACATGAAAGTCTCCCAGGAACCAGGATACCTGGGTTCCCTCAAGTTAGTCAAGAGCCAGATCAAGAAAAGATGCATCAGAGAAAGGAAGAAAAAGAATGGTTCCTAAGAGGAGGGCTCACTGAGCCAATGTGTACATCTCCAAAGAATCAAACACAGGTAGATCTCAGTCTTGTGAAAAAGAAAGAGGGGGAAAAGGTGTCTCCAAAGACAGTGCGGATTAAGAAGGAACCATCCGTCAGGACTGAGGACAGAGGTGAGCAGATGGCACTAGAAAGACAGAAAATGCCAACAGATCCCGGAAGAGGAAGGAGAGACCAGAAATCTGCTCCAAAGTACCAGCCAAATACCTTGGGGGAGAGGCTTGAGGAAGAAGAGTCAGGACCCAGAAGGGAGCATGAGATCCATGGAGTCCCAAGGGAGTCCAAGATCTTTCAAGGCCTGGAAACAACAGGGGAGAGGCACAAAGATAATGAGGCTCAAAGACAGATGCCTGATGAAGCAGAAGAGCAGGAGAAAGGGCACCTAAGAGATACTAAAGATGTAATCAAGGTAAGAATTACTCAACGTGGCTAAAAAGGTCATTTTATCTAAATGTTTGCCTCTCACCCAAACCAATGGGACTTTTTTCAATACTCCCTGCTTTCACCATTCTCTTTCTCTCTCCTGTCTCCATGTCTCTATCTCTATTTCTCTGTGCCTCTATCTCTGTCTCTCTTTGTCTCATTCTTCCTGATTCCTAAGTCTGCGAAGTCCCTGCCCTTTGCTTCATGTCATCCTATTAGATGTGAAAATAGACAACCTTTTGTGGGTTTCAAGACTGTTATTAAACCCCTATTCAGCCTTTTCTTCTCTAGACTAAATTATCTCACTGCCTTAATCCTAATAATTTCTTTTCCTGCAATTTAGAAAGTTTCCCCCTAGGTTCTAGGGCAGAACCAAAGATAAAACTCAGGTATTTTGTGCCCAAGCCTTGTTCCTAGATGTGACGTCTGCCACAGGGATGGCCCAGTATCTGGGGATAACTGAACATCCAGCTGATGGGGATCAGCTGGGACATCTCAGCCAACAGCAACCTCCAGCAGGTGGTGTCTCTTTCCAACTTACCAGCTCCTCCACTCAGCCTCCCATCCCCTCTCCCCCAAGCCATCCTTGGGTGCATGGGTATTTGATGTCCTTGTCTCACAGAACCTCAAAGAATGTCTACAGAAGGCTGAGGAACAGTCCCAGAAGAAGGAGAAGCTACTAATGACCCTGGAGGAGAAATTGAGATCGCTGGAAGAGCAGTTGTTCAGGTAACTTGAAAGAGTAGCTAAGGTGAGGGAGGTGAAGTGGGTCTCCAGTGGATTAGCTTCCCAAGAACATATTCAGAAAACCAACACCATTCTCTTCTCATCTCTGTATATTCTCCCTTTCCACATACTCTGGGACATTCTCTCTCTCTCTCTCTCTCTCTCTCTCTCTCTCTCTCTCTCTCTCTCTCTCTCTCTCTCTCTCTCTCTCTCTCTCTCTCCTTTTCCCTTTCTCTGTTTCTTTCACTCCTTTCCCCTTCCTCTGTCTCTTTGGCTCTGGCTTTCAATTCTTTGCCTCCCCCTACACCTCTGTCTCACTGTCTGACTCTCTCCCTCCTTTTATCTCCAGACACCATCAGCCTTACCCCACCCCATGCCTGCAGGGTTCTAGTGGAACAGCCAGCTGTGATTTAGGCTGAGTCAATGTGTCCATCACTGACTGTCTATTCTATTGAGTAGTGAGAACTCTCCATGAGTCTAACACATGACACTTTCAAGTTTGATTTTTTTTTTATTTTTAAGTATCATCAGCTAGACATCCAGCCAATCCCTACTATCGGATCAACAGTGGATAAGACTGGTGATTCATGCTGGGGAGGGAAACATTTCACCTATTCATAGAATCAGGCAGTGTCAGAACTGGAAAAGACTTTAGAGATTTTTTAATCCTACTGCCACCTCCCCATTTTATGGATAAGAAAACAGACCTGAGGAAGGAAGGGAGTTGCCCAAAGTTATACAGAAGGCAACTAGGAGACCTGAGACTCAAATTCATCCTTTCTAATGCCAAGTTTTTGCAATGGCTCTTAAACAATCCTGATCCAATCAGAAAACTCTCTGTGGCTGAAAATGCTCAGGTAGTCATAATGAAAGATTCCTCTTGCTAGGACTGGTGTCAAAAGGATTACCCTACTCTAACAGAACCACGGTATTGTCAAAAGAGTCCTGGGCCTATAGCTAGAAGAGTCATGGGTTGTAATCTTGCTTTAAAAACTTGCTAGCTATCTGACTCTGAACAAGTCATTTAATTTCTTTGAGCCTCAGTCTCCTCATCCGCAAAATGGAGATGATGAGAATGATAACAACAACATCCATAATACCTGCCTCAGAGGACTGTTGTGAGGATCAGAGGAGTAAAGCATGAAATGTGCCTTGTAAACTTTGAAGTACTATACAACTATCACAAAAGTGATGGGTACCAAGTACATCAAAAGTAAAGATAATTTACATAAGAAAGATACTCTCAAAGAGCAAATTCTTCCTGTTAAAACACTAAGAAAATTTATGATAATGACATCACCAAAAGCACATACGATGTCATCAATTTGAAACATTTTATAATTTTTATTTTATTATTCCTAGCTACATGAGCACCTTAGCTTTGTAGACTTTTTTTTGGAATGTTCATGCTCTGGCTACAGAAGGCTATCTCTCAAGGGTGTTCCACATGTCACAAATGACCCTGACATTGGAAAATAGTTATTTTCTGTCTTTTATGATATGATCAATTTCACTTTTTGCAATATTATTCAATTCCTTCTATTTCTAGTATCTTTCAAATCTCTTTTTGAAGAAAGCATTCATGATACATGGACAAGAGGCTTTTGAGCAGTCTACAAATTTCCTGCCTTTTTAATTTCCTAATTACAAAACATATTTCCTAACATATTTTTCATCATTGTTTCCTGTGCCCATCTTCACCATGTCACTAAGTCTCATAGCATATAATGTTTTGGTTTAGAGGAAATTGTCAAGTTCGTCATAGAATTTCTCTTCCCCATATTCTGCAGAGGTTGGCACATAGGCTCTAAGTATCCTCACAATGGTCTTTAACTTTTGCTCTTCATAAGTAATACAGGATGAGATGGCCAAATGTCCTGTAAAGCTGTGTTTCTTGTCACCCTTAGGCACGTGATGAAACCAACTCTGCACTCTTTCACTAGCCTCTCCAAAGAGAACCAGTGATGCATCCTTCCACTTAACCACCATTTCCTTATGTTTTCTAGTTCCATTCATACCAAGAATGCCAATATTGATATGATTCCGTTCGTCCAGTAGAATCTCACATTTGGAATGTCAGTAGTTAAAGCAATAGCTACAGGTAGCCTAAAATCTGTAGTTCCTAGTACCCTCTGACCCCTGCAGAAGGGAAAAGGGGGTGGGGTCACACGGGATTGAAGGCCATCTTGTATTTTTCTTCACTCCATGGGTTACCATAGTCAAATAATTCATCATCTAGTGGCCAGCCTACTGGTGAAGAATGCAATTAAACCATCTACTAGGTAGAATAAAGGTCAAGATTAATCATTGATTAGAAAAGATAAGAAGGTATGTATCCAAACATAATCATTTCACCCTGACCTATTCAAAAGAGGTATTGACCCTGAAATAGAAAATGGTTAAAAAGAAAGACATTCTGACTATCACCATTTCCAACAGAAGTTTAACTGGCAAAAGACAATTGCCTCAACACAGAGGCCAAAAGAAACTCAGCCAACAAATATTGATCTTCTAATACAGTAAAGAGATATAGAAGCTCATAATAATACCAATATGGCATTTAAATTTCTTTGCAAAATGTTACAGGAAAGGTGACAAAAGGCTACAAGTAATATCACATCACACAAAAAATAAAGGTTAGTGGAAGAGAAAGCCAGTCTGAAGGAAACTTGGTGCAAAACCCAAACAGTAGAAATCATTCCAAGAGCTGAAATTTTGAAAGCATTGAGAAATCCGTTTTTAAATTATCTGAAAGGAAAAGTGGAGGAAGAGAGGATACCATCACGGGAGGAAGGGGGGAAGTGGATAGCACTATTATCCAATGCCTAATTTCTCATCCCTATAAAATCTTTATGAAAATAATCTATCCACATATTGAAGTTAGTCAATAAAAATATGAAAAGAGAATATAGAAGCTTTCTCAAATGATTTTCTATGCCAGACCACATCTTCACAGTAGTATAAATGACTGAATAGCAGTAGGATAGAAATATAAGATTACACTGTATTAATAAACACAGTGTTCGTTGGTTTTTTAAAAATCCTTAATTAAGGGGCAGTTAGGTGTTGCAGTGCATAGAGCACCAGCCCTGAAGTCAGGAGGACCTGAGTTCAAATCCAGCCTCAGACCAAACTCTTGACACTTACTAGCTGTGTGACCCTGGGCAAGTCACTTAACCCCAATTGCCTAAAAAGAATAAAACCAAAAACCTTAATTAGTATAAAATATGGCCTGAAAAATTTATATCTTTTAAGCATGGAGTTATCATGGACACACTGAGATCATAAAAGATTCCTTGATATCCAAAACCATAGAAATAACTTGTTACACAATCTCCTAATTACCAACATTAATTGAGGAATAAAACAAGAAGGCAGGTGTTTGCTACAGTGATGGGAGATGCCTTGAAAAAGTCCAAATGGAACAGAAACTCCCTATATGAGGGGAGGGCTTCCAAATGGAGATTTACAAATGACATTATACTGATTGCCTCAAGTTCTAGAATCTCTCATGGAGATCCATGACAACGAAATTTATCAGCCCAAAAATTCACACAGGAAAAACCATATGGACAAAGAATACCTATAGTCCAGACTATGACATGCAATTGGATGGACAGCCCACTGAGATAGTCTAAGCAATTAATCTAAAAGTATTAATTAGGCACCTTCTATTTGCTAGGCTATATGCTTAACACTGGGCATAAAAAGACAAGAATGAAACTTTTCTGCCTCCAAATGCAAGTCCCTGCCCAGAAGGAAGTGACATTCTATTGGGAGAGACAGAACATATACAAATAAGTGTGCATAAAATAGATATAAAATAAATTCAAGATACATATTTTATGGGGAAGGACACTAGTAGTAGTTGGCAGAGGGGGAAGAAGCAGAGATCAGGAAAGCCTTCATGATTTGCAGCGCTATGAAGATAAAGAGATTTAAAACAGAAGAGGTGAAGATAGAGTATGTTCCAGGTACAGAAGAAAGCTGGTGCAAAGGTGCGTAGATGGAGTTGGAAAGAGTGAGGAAAAAAGTTTAGAAGAGGGATAGGTTTGAGGGAAAAGAAAATTACTTTTCAGGTATGCCAAGTTTAAGATTTGAAATATCCAAAGATCTCTAGACTGAAGATCTGCATTCAAATCACGGCTCTGACACACACTAGTTGGGTGACCTTAGGAAAATCATTTCACCTCCCTAGCTTCAGTTTCTTCATCTATGTTATCTTGGCATGATTTTCATATGCCAAGAAACAATTCTATCCCTGCCTCAAACTCCAGATGCCTCTCCCTATCCAGATGCCAAGAGCAGCAGGCCCAACTGAGGACAGAGCTGGAGCAAAGGCAACAGGAGGCTGAGAAGAGAGAGGACCGGTACCAACAGGAGCTCAAGGAGCAGCATGAGCTGGTCCGAGCCATGAAGAGACGCATGGTGGAGCTGATTCAGTAAGGGATGGGAGACATCCCATCAGTAAGGGGATGGAATAGGAGGTTGGATATGGAAGGAATAGACCTAGAGCTTGGGGCATGAGAGGGTAAGGTGGCCTGTGGGAGTGAGAAGGGATGTGGAAGAAGGGATGACAGCAGACATAAATGGTAGGAAGACCCAATCTGTTCATCACTAGTAGTGCTCCCCTCTTCCCAATCACCATAACTTCTGTGTAGGTCTCAGTGTAAGGTCAGGGTTCTGGGGTATTTGCTCACCAGCCTCAAGCAACCACTATTTTTTTGGATATGTTCTGTATAGTACCACCATGACTATGTAGTACTAGGCACAACTTAAATAATAATAAAAGACTTGGTCTCTGCCCTCACAAAGCTTACAGTCTACTTGGGAAGAGAAGAAAGACATTGACACATAAACAATATTACTAGTAATACAGCACTGTGTTTAGGTGGTAGGGATAGGGACCGAACTTGTGATTTCATTGGTAGAGGAAACTCCATCTACCAAAGCAGGCTGCCACCTTCTCTGTAGCTTATAGTCTTAGACTTTCCTAGCACACTGAAAGGTCATTATTTGCCCAAGATCATAGAGCCAGTGTGGGTCTGAGGTAATACTTGAACGCAGGACTTTCTGCTTCTGAGACCAGCCTTCTATCCACTACATCATGGTGCTAAATTATACAATTTAGCTCTGAATGTTGGATGAGTTCAGAAAAGGAGAATCATTATGAGTTGGAATGGTTGGGAAAAGCCTTGTAGAGGAGACAGGGCTTAAGTCTTCAACTTTGGAAGATAATAATAGTTTCAAAAAGTAGCCCTTGTCTTCAAAGAGCCCATTACTCTAGTTAGGAAGAAAACCTGTGCATACACTGAGTGTCAAATGGGACTAATACAGGCATTAACTAGCACAGAATTTCAGAGGAAGAAGATGCCTCCTTCCTCTTCCTCCTTGGCTTCAGTCATCAGGGAAGGCTTCATGGAAGAAGTGGAATTTGAGTTGGACCTTGAGAGGTATGCACAGTTAAATAGTTCAAGTAGAGATCTGTTTCCTCACCTGTTCTTTGCCATCCCCAGTGATTCACTGACAGACCTCAACTCCCATCTCCCCTCTGCTTTTCTGTCCTTCCTCAATCTAATTCTCTCTGTCCCTTCCTTCTAGGGAGAAGGACAGCCTCTGGCAGAAGACTGAGCATCTCTCTTCCCTATCCCCTGGGCTCTGTCTAGTCTGTAGCAAGGTTTTTGGTCGCCTGTCTAGGAGATATAAATGCAGGTAAGGACAAGAGGTGTGTCCTTCTTCTAAGACCTCCATACTTCCTCCCATCCCAGTGTCCATATTCTAAGACTTCCATACTTCCTCCCAGCCTCCTTCCCCCTCCCACTTCAAGGCAATGGGAAATGCAAGAACAGAAAGTATGTAAAAGAAGCATTGTGAGGTTGTTCTTTTATTACACTCATCCTCGATCACACCCTGGACACACACCCAGGGCTAGTTCTAGGCTTCACAGGAGGTCAAGACAGCCATCCCTGAAAAGGATTAAGCTGGTAGACATAGGCTGAAAATGAAAGGAACCAGGAAGGGGATGGGATTTTGTAGCCTAGCAATTAGTTGAGTGATTCATGGGCTTCTCATCTATAAAGGGATTTCTTTGACAGAAGGTAGAATGATCAAGCTGTCTTCCACCTCCATTGAGAATAGATCAAGGGGAAATACAGGAAGAGAGAAGGAATTGAGATATGAGGGAACTTGTCGTTTAGGGAATAGAAAACATTAGAAAAGAAGGAATAACGGTATCTGGAAATCTTGAGAAGGCAAAGTAAGACCCAATGTACACGTGAACAAGGGTCAGGGCTGTTCTGGTATAAGGAAGTAGACAGAATGACCTGGGATTCTAGCATGTATGGTTCATGTCCTCCCTGGCATCAATTTCACTGCCCAAATCAGGCCCACAGCAACAGAAATCCCTGCTCTCCTTTCTCCTCCTGCTTTCGCTGACCTCTACTTACCTAGAGGGCTCTGGATCTCCACAGACTCTGCGGAGGCCTCGTCTGCCATGCCTGCTCTGTGGATTACAAGAAGAAAGAACGATGCTGTCTATCTTGCCACCAGAAGGGAGAAACCTAGGTCGATTAAGTCAAGACCCCTTACCTTAGGACTGGTCTCTTCCTTATTTTATGATCGTTGGATCATTAGTCCCAATCCTTTCCTTAATGATCTTCATGTCCCCTTACTGGCCAAGGTGATTCAGAAAGACAAAAGCCTCTGCCCTCTAGGAACTTAGAATCTAACACAGAAAACACTCTCTTAGATTGTGCTCAGAAAGCACCGTATGTAGGAAAGCACTTAAATGGATTCCTCTGACTATGAGACATTGGGAAAAGTTTGTCACTAATTAGGAGCCAAATTAGTGACAAACTTTTCCCAATGTCTCAGTCAGAGAAATTAATTTGAGTAAGTCTCCGGTGTCAGGAACAGCTAGTGGCCCTTTGGAAAACTGAAATTTCCAGCATTGCCATTTGTGATTGTAAATCCAAGTTTGATTTGGTTAAAGTTTGTCCTGAAACTAAACTATGATGTGGTCTTTGTTTAAAGTGAGATGTGTCCTCCTATTAGGATAATTGTGGTAAATCACAACAATGCAAAATACATTTGCTATTTGACATTAAGGCTATATTGGAGCAGCTAGGTGGTGCAGTGGATAGAGCACTGGCCCTGAAGTCAGGAGGACCTGAGTTCAAATCCGGCCTCAGACCAAATACTTGACACTTACTAGCTATGTGACCCTGGGCAAGTCACTTAACCCCAATTGCCTTAAGAGAAAAAAAAGACATTAAGGCTATATGCTTGAAAATTGAATGGATCAGGAAAACCTGAGTTTAGATTTGAACTTAAACACAAATCCTACAGGGAAGTAGGAAGGGAAGTGTATAAGAGAAGGGGGGTTGACTAATAGAGGGGAGGATAGATTAAGGGTTAGAAGTAAAACAGACTTTTGATGAAAGACAGGATAAAAAAAGAGAGAGAAAGATGAACAGGAGAAAAAATAGAATGGAGGGAAATACACAGTTAATAAAACAGAATGGGAATAGAAAGGAGTATACCTTTTTCCTAACTGTATACAGCTCCTTCACAAAAACTGATCATACATTAGGGCATAACGAGGCAGACTTCACAACCAAATGCAGAAAAGCAGAAATATTAAATGCATTCCTTTCAGATCGTATTGTAATAAAAATTATATTCAATAAAAGGCTGCAGAAACATAGATTGTTGTTTAGCTTTCATTTTTGAAGAGGACTAATGAGATCATGGGGTGATGTCCTGACTTGCACATAAACTGAATTTAAGTGAGACAGAGCTGTACAAAGTCATCATCCTCACCCCATCTTCCAGAGTAATCAGTGTACAGTGGCAAAACAAAAGTCAAAATGGCAACGGCCCAGGTTGCAGCAGATGACCTTGGCATCTTCGATGTCTGACCAAGCTCCACCTGTATCAGCTGCCTTCAAGGCCCTTGGAACAAATTGTTCTCATCCTCCCATTTTGCCAAAGGAAGTCTGAAGACTTGCTTGGCATAGACATACTCCTAACTCACAAATGGGTTTTTGGCCTGTTAGTTACCCTCAATCTGGTTTAGCCCAACTGCTGGATGGTTTTACCAGGGTATGGCCATTATGCGCACTACAGCTTCTTGAAGCCACAGGTTAAGAGTTGAGTGACAGGTAGATACCAAAGGCGGATGAGCAGCCCTGAAAAGAGCTTGGCAAGCCCTCACACCAGAGGTGCTAGCACTCCCTAAACACCCCATACGCTCTGGAGACATAGATTAAAAATTTATTGGAAACTAAATAATCTAATCCTAAAGAATAACTAGGTCAAAGAACAACTCATAGAAGCAATCAATGATTTCATTAAAGCAAATGACAACAATGGGACAACATACCAAAATTTATGGGATACAGCCAAAGTAGTATTTAGGGGGAAATCTATATCTCTAAATGCTTATATCAAAAAAAAAATAGAGAAAGAATAGATCAATGAATTGGGCATGCAACAATTTTTTAAAAACTAAGAAAAAAATTTAAATCCTCAATTAAACACTAAATGGAAACCTTGAAAATCAAAGTAGAGATTAATAAAATCGAAAGTAAGAAAACCATTGAACTAATAAATAAAACTAGGAGCTGGGTTTTATGAAAAAACCAATAAAACAGATAAACCATTAGTTAATTTGATTTTTTAAAAAGAAAGAAGAAAACCAAATTACCAGGCTGAGTTCACCACCAATGAAAATGAAATTAAAGCAACTATTAGGAGCTATTTTGCCCAATTATATGTCAATAAATCTAACAATCTAAGTGAAATGGATGAATATTTGTAAAAACATAAATTTCCATGATTAACAAAAGAGGAAATAGAATACTTAAATAACCCTATCTTAGAAAAAGAAATTTAACAAGCCATAGATGAAAAAAATTACCTTAAGAAAAAAATCACCAGGACTCACAAGTGAATTCTACCAAACGTTTAAAGAATAATTAATTCTAATACTATGTAATCTATTTGGAAAAATAACCAAAACATTTTGTGTGTGCAATATGGCTGATATGTAAATGTTTTACTTGACTGCACATATATAATCTGTGCAAAATTGTTTGCCTTCTTGAGGAAGGTAGAGAGAAGCGAGGGAGAGAATTTGAAAGTCAAAATTTTTAAAAAGAATGTTAAAATGTAATTGAGAAAAAATAAAATCAAATGTAAATGTAAAAAAAAAAAGCCCTTCAAACCATAATTTGGAAACTTACAGTAAAGATACTACATTTCAGTCACAATTTCATTCTCTAATTAGTTTATAATGCCAAAAATTTCTACAAACCAAGAAAAATATTTTCTTTTTTCTTTTCTTGTCTGTCTTTTATCTCTCCAAGCTCCAACCCAGTTAGGATTGCAAAGGTAGAGAGAAAGAATCCCTAAGTTTTCCCTTCTTATCTCCCACTGAAAATCTAATCAAATGAGTCATAGGAAGTAAGTCCTCATTATTTTATAGATAGCTTGGAAAGCTGTTTTAGGTATGACGCTTCATTAGATTTCCACCTTTCTAAGCTCCCTTTCTGCAGTCAATTTACCAAAGTCTTTATGAGTGACTAGGTATTCTTCAAAGTTCTCTAAGGTAAATATGTGTTCCTAGAAAATTTCTAAAGTGGAAGTCTCATCAAAGCTCACCTTACCGCCTGCCAAATACAAGTTTCCCTTATTAACCTAGGACGGTCCTAATCAGTTAACTAGGACAAGACAAGACCTAGATATCTGATAAAAAGGTTGAATTGGTGAGTGTCGGGGCAGCTATCATCACAGACCAACTCTATGGGAAGATTAAGGAGAAAGACAGGAAGAGAAAAGAAAGGAAGGAAGGAAGGAAGGAAGAAGGAAGGAAGGAAGGAAGGAAGGAAGGAAGGAAGAAAGAAAGAAAGAAAGAAAGAAAGAAAGAAAGAAAGAAGAAAGAAAGAAAGAAAAGAAAGAAAGAAAGAAAGAAAGAAAGAAAGAAAGAAAGAAAAAAAGAAAGAAAGAAAGAAAAGAAAGAAAGAAAGAAAGAAAGAAAGAAAGAAAGAAAGAAAGAAAGAGCTCTACCAAAGAATCAGCAATCTAATTTTAACCAAATTTTTAGCAGCTATGTATAAACCCTAGGGTGATCAAGTCAAGATTACTCATTTTGTGGATCAAAGAAGCCTGGGTTAATTCTGACCCTGACCAAGTCTCTCCCTGAGCTAATGCCACCACAGTCCCTTAATTTTCTGCATATCCAGAGTCTTCAGTCCTAAGTCTCCTAACCCAGGACCTTGACCATGTCTGATTTGAATTTGAGGATACTCAAGAGGTTCTCACCATGTTCAGTCTGATCCTGTATAGGTCAGGTCCCGCCTATGCTCATTCCTAAAACCCCAGACACTTTTAGCCTCCATGGTCTGGAGAACTTTCAAGTTTAACTTAAGTTGACCACCCAGGAAAGCTTAACACTGCCACCATGATAGTCATGAGAATGAACATGAGAACGAAAGCCAGAAGAAGACTCCATCCATCAGTTTTTGTGAGGTTACATTATAGAGTTCGGATAAGGGCTTAAGGACATTTGTTTGATTGGCCTCACTTAGGCAGTAGGTAGTCTCCAAGAGAAGACCAGTTTGAGATGTAAATCAGTATATTAGTCAGTCTAATTTGGTGAACCCAAAATGAAAGTTGAGTAGATTTAAAACAAGACCTAGGTGGGATCTGACCATTGCTTACAAGGGTTCAGCTTCCCTGTCTCTGAGGTCAGCCTGATCTCTACAATAAGCATTTTGGGTTAGATAATTTTCTAGCCACACAAAGCTAGGTTCAACAATATTAATAAAAGATAAATAACATTTTCTCCACACATGGTATGCTTTCAATCATAAGCTTCCAGAAGGCAGATACTATAGCTATGTTCTGATGCACACAGGAGGCATTTAATAAAGGTAGCTTTATGAGAACTGTGGCAGTGCAACCATTATAATCACATTGACCTGAGAAGTGCCAACAGTCAATTTCTGTGACTAGGAAGCATATGCAAATTATATGTTAAGACACCCTGGCAACTATCAAACCCAACAGAACTTTTGGCACAACCCTCTTGAAAACCCTGTTTTAGAAGGTGTGTCTTCCTTTGAGCTCTGCTCTACATAATGGCTAGAGCTCTGGACTTGGTAGCCAATTCAGCCTCAGATACTTGCAAGCTGTGTGGTCTTAGGTAACTCAGTTAACCTCTTTCTGCCTCAGTTTTCTCATCTGTAAAATAAGGAGATTGAATTTGATGACATCTAAGATGTCTTCCAGCTCTGAATCTATGATCCCATGGCTTTCCTGTACATGCTCAAAAGTCAGTGATTCCTCATCCTGGGAATATGGTCTTATGCTAGTCTATGAACCCCTTAGCCCTCAACTTCTTCCCTGCTCCACTTGGCCCTGGCTCTTCCACTCATGTTGAATAAGTCTTGTAGCTATGATACACCTCCTGAATAGTCATAGTCCAGCCCAGGGCCTTTCAAGTCCTGGTTGCTCAGAGTTGCATCTCATCTACAGCCTATGGAGCAAGAGTTTCTCAACAATCTTCCTGTCCCATGAAAGTCAGCAAGGGCTTTTGATCTCTGGATGCCACAAGACTGATGTAGCTTCCTCATCAAGCTGAACAGGAAGATGTACAAGCCCAATAGCCTCAAGGCCAGGCACTCATTTCATTATAATGGACTAATCTATTGGAAGACT